GCCTATTTGCTTGCTTCTTCTTCCCATACCAATTTCTAAACATGGTTCAGTGGATCAGATGTTTAGTTTAGTGGTGGGCACGTCAGCCTGGGCAGAAGAGGTCCTCGTGGCTGCTTTGTTGGTCTTTGCCATCAGTGCCAAGCAGGAGAAGACATCAGAGGCTGTTTTAGATGTTTTTCATTCCTTCAAGAACGCTGTACCAACAGCCATGTGATTTGAGGACAACCCCTTAATATTCTCGATCTGAAGATGTTGAGTGATGAGGGACCTGCTTGGGTTTCTCAACCTCCCTTGCTTAGAATGAAGTGAGGAGATATCAAGAACATGTTGGCACAGGTTGACCTTCCTTAGGACATGTTCTCTGGAAACTCCCCATCTGCATCCTGGACCCATTCGCAGCTGCAGCAGGGAAACTCTGATTTAGAGCTGCTTCACCTGTTTATTATTATTTAGACTTGGTCATCAAGAGGAAGGGAAAACTGATGGTCGCTATTGCTGATAGTTTCATGTTGTGGCTCCGGGCTTGGATTCAGCTCCTGTGACTGATATGAGTTCAAGTGAGGAGGTCATGGCAGAAAAATATGAGCCAGCCTGGCTTACTGATTGGACTGATAACCAGGATGAGGAGATGGACGTGACAAAGGACGACAGACCTGATGTATTAGAATTGACAGGACCTTTGACCTCCTCTGGTTCCTTATCTGATCAACAGCCGGGAATGGCTGACAGGGAAGTTTTGAGAGAGTCTTCTAGTGGAGATGAGAACTTGGAAAATTTGTGGTTAAATGTAAGGAACAGAAGACATTTGAGAAGGCAAACTCAGCTGGAATGAAGGAGGAGGGCGAGTCAGTAAATTAGCACGTTGCCTCAATGAGTATAAAAGGACACAGCTGGGCTGGTAATTTTGCCAGGAACAAAATGACTATTTGAGTGAGGACGTTACAGCAAGAAGCTCTGAGACTGGAGATTTATTGCCAGGACTGGTTTGCCGGACAGAGTAAAGATTTATGCTGTGGTTTCTGCCAGCCATTATCTTGTAAGACTTCTTTCCATTTGATTTAATTGTGAAACGGCTGCTTTCTGTTTTGTTCATTTGAATTTTGAAGGGGAGTCATAACAGTTTCATACCTGAAGATGGGAGAAGAAGAGATGGAAGCAGAATGATTGCAGGGTTCTGAACACTTTCCAGCCCTTCCAGCATCTTTCCTCAGACTCTGATGTTCCCAGAAGGCAGGGTCCAAATTGGTTACTCTGCAGAAGGTGTGCTTCAGCAAATGCCCAGCACATGCCCAGTTTGACCATGGGAATAATGTCAAAGTCCCACTATGGACCTTGCAATAGCCTAAGTGTAGTTTCTGCCTCCCCTGCCTTCCCAGCCAAGTTGATCATAGCATCCGTGGCGGGATTCAAATTTTTTTTTTACTACTGGTTCTGTAGGCATGGCTTGGTGGGCGTGGCATAGCTTGGTGGGCGTGGCATGGCTTGGTGGGCGTGACGGGAAGGTTTCTGCAAAATTCCCATTCCCTTCTCACTAACCTGCTTTCCAGCTCCGTTCTCCTGTGCAGGGCAACCAAAGAAGACCCAGCGAATCAGCTGGGACTCAATGGGAGGCAGAGAATAGATGGGGGCGGGGCCAGTCAGAGGTGGGATTTGCCGGTTCTCCGAACTACTCCAAATTTCCGCAACCGGTTCTCCAGATCTGATCCGAACCTGATGAACACCACCTCTGCCTGGTTCCCCTCTGTTGCAGAGTTCGCCGCTTCCTTTTATTTCTCCTTTAATATCTCGCTTGAACGCCTGGGTGATGCATAAGACCATTTGGGTGATATACCATTTAACTGATGTCGAGGGAGATCCAGGGGAAATAATGCTGAGAATATATTCGGAGAATGAAGCGTGTTCTAATCGGCGGGCATTATGAACTAAAAAGCATGAAGCCATTTATTTTCTTTCCCTCCCGTGATGAATGTGAAAGGGGGAAAATGAGAAAATAACCAAGAGGGGCTCTGGGAATTCTGGCTGAGTTGAAATTTTGACTCCTGAGTATTTCGGCTTCTTGTTGATGGCCAGCGGGGCTGTTTCCTTGGCAACCACCGTGCAGGACAAGCCCAAGGGCTGCAGTAGGAAAACGACAAAGTTTCTGTAGCTGGAAGTTGCTTTTCTTCTAATTTCCCCCATCTCTGCTTTTCTTCTGTAACCTTATCCACCTTAATGAAATCGATTAACCAACTTTTTAACGCTTCCTGTTCTTCCTAATGCTATCGAGGAGTTTGAAGGAAGCTTTGTTTTACAGAAGGTAAGTGTGCTGCCCCACTCACTCGCACTCACACATCGGTGTGGTTTATGGAGGGTTTAATTGGTCTTTCCCCAGCAGTTCTCTTTACCTGGCTTTAATACTGTCCCAACTGAGGCCAGCCACGAGCAAGGCCAGATTAATTCCCCAGGCAAACGCCAATTAATCCATAACGTAGATAGCAAGCTGCTCAAACAGTGAGTCTAATAAATGAACATAACCCCACTCCCCCGGGCAAAATTTAAAAGTACATCCACGTTAGCTCACAGGTTATCGAAATTCGGAGTGTCGGGAAACACAAATGAACAGGCAACCATGACGCAACGCCTCCCTCTGCCTGCCGTGCGAAATAGCTCCCGCTGCAGCCCATCAAAAGGAGCAGGGCCTTTTCCCGAGCAATCTGGCAGACCTCCATTTCTCTGCATGCTCTGAGATCCATCACAGCAGGCAGCTCCTCCCCCTCTTCTTCACTGGTCCACAAGCTGTCCCCAGTTGAAGCCTGTTCTGCTGGCAGTTCGGGGTTAATAATTCCCGACGTGCCAGGAATGGTCTCATTCTCCTTCGAGCCGGCCTCTGCGGAAGAGTCAGAGGAGTCTTCCAAAGGAGACACCACAGTAAGATGCGCAGCTTAACTGCTTCCTCACCTCTGCCTGTACAGGGTCCATAACAATTTGCCATGGCCATCTTGCCATAGCCAACTTGCCACAAGACAACTCACTGCGAGACGAGAGTTAACACTTAACATCAAAGGAAGGGTGGCGTAGAATCGTTAGAGAAAGGATGCAAAAGGAGGGACAAAGGAAAATGTCAATGACAAAAGTGAAAATCATTTTTTACATTATTTTGAATCATTAAATTGAATTGTTGAATGGTCTTATGCAGTGATGGGACTCAACTTTTTTTACCACCGGTTCTGTGGGCATAGCTTGGTGGGCGCACTTTGTGTGTGCATCCGCGCTTTGCACGCGCACAGAGGGTTTGATACTGACCTCCTGAAATCCTGCACTCTCCCTGTGTGTTCAACAGCTGATGTGCGGCAAACTGTTGAGCCACGCGAAGCAGCTGAGCTTCAAAACCAGGAAATAATGGTCAGTATAGAGCCCAGGCAGGGAGGCCCAGCAGCCGATCATCGGAGCAAACCGGTTCGCTCACAGATGATCCTCAGAGCTACCGGTTCGGTCAAACCGGGCCGAACTGGTAGAATACCACCCGCCTGGTCCCGTGGCATGTTGTCCCAGGGCGAGTTGCTCATGACCAATGGTCCGGCAACGAGTTGGCCATGGTGAATTGGCAGCAGCGAGTTGGCATTGTGAGTTGTCCCATTCCAGCCTGTGCCTGGGTTTGTACAGAGACACATTCTGTACCTGCACATCCAGGTGTTTGGGAGGTTGACTGCTTAAAGATCTCTGTTGAGTTGTGTCAACACCTGAAGCATCGGGGTGGAGAAAACCAAGCAAGATCTCTATCGGTCTCCTCAAAAGCCTACTGATTTGTGCTCCAAGGCTACCTGATCTATCTGGCCATGGTTAGGAACAGGCTCCGCCTGAGATGCTTTCCTGAAGGACTTGCCATGCTTCTCAGTTGCTTCCTGTGCACCAAGTAATGAATTGTGTTAACCCTGGTTTAGATCCCGAGAGTGCTTCAGGAAGTCCCTCTCCCATTCTGGATTTGCCCATCTGTGATCAATTAATTATAAGCACCCCTGCAATCGGACCAGTCACTGCTATCTCTCCCAGGTAATGGGAGAGAACTCCTTGAAGATCCATCCTTCTGTGATGGAAAAGAGGGCCTTCTCTCACCTTCTGACCATAGACAAAGGAACCACTGTGCTTCAGGTGTTGCATTTAACGCGAGAAGCATGCCATATTTAGCAAATCCAACAAGGAAAAACATTAGTCCAGAAGATGACTTTGAAAAGAAAAGAAAAAAATAGGTTTTGTAGCCTTTTGTTGATAAAAGCTTAAAACATTTCCTGACATTGTAATTGACCCGGGCTTTAGAATTCCTTTGGTTGGGCAGGATATCCACCTTTTCCTGCTTATTAGCATTCTTAGAGGCATGTTATGTTAAATTGAGGATAAAGCACACTCCATTTCCCCGCACTCCATCCCTAAAAGGCCCACTCTGCCATTTTTGATTGTGTAATAATTCCGCTCAAGTTCAACTTGCTGGTTGCACCTCAGTTCAGTTTGGGTCATGCCTACATGAAACACACGGCCGTGGTCCTGAAGGTCCACTGAGGGATTAAACCTGAGAGAAAGGGGAGTGCAAAAGTAGTGGGTGGAAATGCAAAAGAACACAATAACGACGCGCCCTTCCCCCCCGAATGAAGATTCGATTCTGGGTAAACTAATCTGATTTGCCTGCTTCGGAAAGAGTTGTCGCAATGTTGTTAAATGTGGGCATAACCCTGGTTAAGAGAAGATCAAAAATCACTCTCCGTTGCGCAATTGCTAAATGGCTGCTGATATATCTTAGACTTTGTGGATTTAGTTCCCTTATTAACTATCAGTGTAAAGCCTGAAATAAATACAGTGTAGTGAAGTCAGGCGTGCAAGGAGCTGCATGCTTCCTTTCTAAATTGCTGTTGACAATATTATACCCAGTTCACACTGACTGTGTCAATTGCAAGTGACAGTTTGTGACTGATGTTCTGAATTGTGGAGGAAACAGCCTTTTTGTCCTGAAAATGGTGTGTGTGTGTGTGTGTGTGTGTGTATCCCCTTCTTCTTTGTTATTCACTGGGACTTGAACGATCAACACTGAAATAGGAACATCTCTCACAGGAGTGGCACAATCTATATATACCTGTGGACAGGAATTAAACCAAAGCTCCCATTGGGTGGAAAACCTACTAAGCTCTGAATGTTAGACTGATTTTTGACTAGAAGAAATATCTGATCCAGCCCAGGGAAGATCATCTTCTGCTATTTAATATCTTGGGAAATGTTAGTTGGAGAACTGGATTGTGGGAAGGCTTCAGTGTGTCCAAAAGTTCCTAGTGCAAAAAGCAGAATCCTGTGCTTAACCTATTAGACTGAATCATTGAATGGGATCTTTCTTGTGCTTGGGATCTCTGGGATCCAGGATACGCACATCTAAACGTGGTGATTCTTCTGATCTGAAGATGCGTCATGGATCTTCTCTCTTGCAGCGAGCAGAGATGAGCTCCAATCCAGGAAAATAAAGCTGGACTATGAGGAAGTTGGAACCTGTCAGAAGGATGTCATTAACATCTGGGACAAGAAACTGTTGAATTGCAGAGCCAAGATCAGATGTGATGTGGAAGACATTCATACCACCCTGAAAGATGGTAAGTTCTGAGTCGAGAGGACTTAGTGCCTGGAAAAAAGGCATTGGTCACAACCAAGGTTTGGCATCTTCAAGGGCAAGGGTCTTCAAACTTGGCAAACTTGGACTTCAATTCCCAGAATTCCTGAGCTAACATGACTAGAGGAGGAATTCTGGGAATTGAAGTCCACAAGTCTTAAAGCTGTCAAGACCCCTGTTCATGGGGAATGGCACCCATGCAGGAGAGGAACATTACACAAAAATTTTGCTGTGTGTCAACATCTCAATGGGGTTCCTTTGCATCTACTGGCTAGTGTTTTTAGTTGATTAACGAATTGATTACGGCATTGAGTTTTGATTTAGCCCAAGGGTCTTCAGACTTGGCAACTCCCAGAATTCCTGAGCTAACATGACTGGAGGAGGAATTCTGGGAGTTGAAGTCCACAAGTCTTAAAGCTGTCAAGTTTGAAGACCCCTGATTTAGCCATTGAGGGAAGGAAAAGGGAAAGATGTCCTTGAATGGAGATCAATTCTTGGTGCTTCAGGAACACATCCAGGTTGGGTTTGTGTGTTTGTGGGTGGGTGGATGGGTGTTTGCCAGCAGGGTGTATTTGTTCCTTCTCCTGAGATACTTTTCTTGCATTTCTGCAGGGGTGGAACTATATATAACCTGGCTATCCCCTCTGGCTTCTACCCACCATCCTAATAAAATCCAGCCCTGCTCAGCTTTCAAGGCCAATCAAAGGCAAAGCTTATTTTCTTAAGTTCAGAAATAGCCTCACCCCGTCAGCTGTTGCACACACTCAAGGTTGTCCCTGTATTTATATGTGTGATTGCAAGGGAAAAAAGAAATACTTCATCTTTCTCTCTACCTTTCCATTCTTCACTGTGTTGTAAGAAATGTCCATCACACACACACACACACACACATCCTCTCTTGGGCTTTGAACCGGAACTTCCTGTTCCTATTATATACTATTGGCTGTCAAATTCCCAGGGGGTGGCAGTCTTAGCTAACTTTATAGGATGTCTGTGTCCCAGGCTTGGTTGAATCTTACTGGTGATGTAATGAAGGGGCTTTGGGCAATTCCTATTATGGCTTAATAGCTTTGTCTTGGTTTGGATCTTGAGTGAGGGCTAATCCTGTCATCCTGGAGCTGAAGGTCTTTTGTCTTGTAGATAAGATGGCACCAAAATATCTGCTGAGGCTGAGTTTCTGTGTCCCTTAAGATTTCTATTTTTTCTTTTAGGGGAAATATTCTTCCTTTTTCATATTTCCTAGAATATTTCATTCTTCTAGGAGAGGGTTGGGTGCTGACTTTCTACAATTGTTTTGTTCAGGTGTCCCCAAAAGCCGCCGGGGAGAAATTTGGCAGTTTCTGGCCGTGCAGCACCGCGTCAGACACCGGCTCCCAAATAAGCAACAGCCTCCCGACATCGCCTACAAAGACCTCCTGAAGCAGCTGACGGCACAGCAACATGCCATCCTGGTGGACCTGGGTGAGGGCACGACTCAGCTGGCAGATGCTCTGGGATGGTTTGGGGTGTCCCAGGGCACCCCTGTAATAATGAAGTTACAGCACTGATTGGTGGTGCCGGTCATTGTGCAAAGAGATCTCAGGCTAATGTTTGTTTTTGGAAAACCAGTTGGCATTCCATGATGGTCTTTCCCTGGAGCTCTTCTTCTAGGAAGCAGCCTGAGCTTTCCCCGAGCCCTGATTTTCTGACCAGCACCCCAAACGTGACAAACCCTCTGACGTGAACTCAAAAGATTCCTTTATTAGGATTGCCGGCAGTTCCCACAAAAAGTTTCTCTTGCAGGGAAACAAGTCTGGCCAGCCAGCAGATGAATAGTTTCTGCCATATTTATTCATCTCCGTCGCCTGCCTTTTATTCCCCAGAGACAGGGTGCAGCATTGCTAGCAGCGGTGGCTCTTCCATCCCAAGGATCAGCCCATAGATTTCCACTGCTCTCCTCTCCTCTGCCTTCTGTGCATCCATGCATCAGACACTAGACCCAGCTGTTCCTCCTCTTCCTCATCAGCCACCTCCAGACCTGGGGGCTGTTGACTCACCATCTGAGGGCTGACGGATGGCCCAGGTTCCACCTCTGTCTCTCTCTATGCCAGCCCCATTCCTTCTCCTCCCCTCGGAGGTCTCAAGTTGCCTTGATGATGGCCCTGACTCCCACTCCTCTTCCTCTGATTCAGCTACCGGAGGGGCCAGCAGCCGACGGGCCACAACACTCAGTTTCACTTCTGACCTCACCCTTTCTTATTTTGCCCCAGGAAGGACTTTCCCCACTCATCCCTACTTTTCGGCTCAACTGGGCGCAGGGCAGCTCTCGCTCTTCAACCTGCTGAAGGCCTACTCCTTGCTGGACAAGGAAGTGGGCTATTGCCAAGGCATCAGTTTCGTGGCCGGCGTGCTGCTCCTCCACATGAGTGAAGAGCAAGCCTTCGAAATGCTGAAATTCCTCATGTATGATCTCGGATTCCGGAAACAGTACAGGCCCGACATGATGTCACTGCAGGTAAGGCCCAAAAAGGAAGGAGGCTGTGTGGGAAAGAGTGAAATTGGATGTCTTCCTTCAACCAGTTCCCTGCAGAACCTCTGTAATACCCGCTGCAGAAGGAGGACTGTCCTGCTAGCTGGATGGTCGGGAGTTGAGTACTTAATTAGTTGGGGAAGACTAGGCAGGAGATCAAGAAACATGCAATGCCAGTTGGCTCTCTGTTGTTAACAGCAGTAACTGTGAGAGGGATCTTGGCGTCTTAGTGGACAGCAAGCTAAGTATGAGCCAGCAGTATGCAACAGCAGCCAAGAAAGCTAATGCAATCTTAAGTTGCATTAACAGAGGGATATAATCGAGATCAAGTGAGGTACTAATACCACTCTATAAAGCCTTAGTAAGACCACATCTAGAGTACTGCATCCAATTTTGGTCACCACACTATAAAAAAAAGATGTTGAGACTCTAGAAAAAGTACAGAGAAGAGCAACCAGATGATCAGGGGACTGGAGACTAAAAAATATATGAAAAACGGTTACAGGAACTGGGCTTGGCTAGTCTAGGGAAGAGAAGGACCAGGGGAGACATGAAAGCAGTCTTCCAATATTTGAGGGGCTGCCACAGGGAGGAGGGGGTCAAGCTATTTTCTAAAGCGCCTATAGGGCAGACAAAGAATAATGGATGGAAACTGAACAAGGAGAGATTTAACCTGGAAATAAGGAGAAACTTTCTGACACTGAGAACAATCAACCAATGGAACAGAAGTTGCCCTCGAAAGTTGTGGGAGCACCATTACTTGGGATTTTCAAGAAGAGATTGGATTGCCATTTGTCAGAAATGGTGTAGGGTCACCTGCTTGGGGGAGGGGGTGTTAGACTAGATGACCTACAAGGTCCCTTCCAAATCTGATTATCTAATCTAATTTAAGAGTCCACTGGCCTTCAACCTTTTGAGCACCAGGGACCGGTTCCTTGAAGAGGGGTTTTTCCGTGGACTGGAAGGGGCGTGATTTTGTGCGCTGCCTGTATCCTTTGCTTGTTTGTGCAGACCAGTTTCTGACATACTGCTTAGATAGAAAACCCTATAATCAAGATGGCGAACCTATGGCACTCATGCCACAGGTGGCATGCAGAGCCATTTGTGCCGGCATGCAAATTGCAAGCAAAGTTACCTCACTGTGCATGCGCGTGCCTCATAGCTGATTTTAGGCAGGTTTTTGGTCTCCCAGAGGCTTGAGGAAGGCTTCTGCAGGCTTTGCAGGCCGAAAACTAGCCCCGTTTCATCACTTCCTGTTTTTCCAACAATACCAGAAATGACGAAACAGACCTAGTTTTCTGCCTGCAAAGCCCGCAGAAGCATTCCTCAAGCCTCTGGGAGGCCAAAGAAGGCCTCAAACCTGCCAGAAGGCCTCAAACCTGCCAAAAATCAGCTGTGTGGCACAGTGCAGGTAAGGAAGTGGTGGGGCTGGGTGGGGACTGAGTGCGCATGCATACGGGGCATGGGGGGGCGCGCATTGCCTTCTGGGTGCTGGCCCGCGAGCACGAGCATGCAAGCTCACTGACAATTTTTGGCACAGGAGCCCAAAAAGGTTAGCCACCACTGCCCTATAATATTTCAGACAAATGATTGTCCAGTCTCTTAAAAATCTCCAGTGATAGAGCACACACAAAGGTGTAGAGGGTAGCCATTCCACTGTTGAATTGTTCTGTCAGGAAATTTCTCCTTAGTTCTAGGTTGCTCCTCTCCTTGATTAGTTTCCACCCGTTGCTACTTGTCCTGCCCTCAGGTGCTTTGGAGAATAGCTTGACTCCCTCTTCTTTGTGGCAGGCCCTGAGATATCGGAACACTTACTGAAGGAACATGGTTTGCCAGGTATGGCCATGCATGGAGCTCTTAGGCAGGTACGGACCTCCTAACCTCCTCTTTGTCCATATGTTCATGTAGATCCAGATGTACCAGCTGTCAAGGCTGCTTCATGATTATCACCGGGATCTTTACCACCATCTCGAAGAAAATGAAATCAGCCCGAGTCTGTATGCTGCACCCTGGTTTCTCACTTTATTTGCCTCGCAATTCCCCCTGGGATTCGTAGCCAGAATCTTTGGTAAGGATCCATTTTGTCTTGCGGTCCTAAGAAACACATTCATTGAAAATGTAAACAGAACCAAGGTACCTTCTATCATATGTGGTGGTCATGCCCGGAAGCCCAAAAATACTGGACCAAAATATGGAATTGGATACAAGAAATAGTGGAAGATCGAATAGAATTGAAACCAGAGTTGTTTCTGTTGGGAATAATTAAAGGGAAATATAGGGAAAAGATTAAATATATATTTACTACATATTTTAACAGCAACAAGTATAGTATATGCACAGTGTTGGAAACAAAAGAACACGCCCTCAGAAGAATTAGTAATTCAAAAAATTCTAGATTGTGCTGAAATGGGTAAATTGACGTGAAAACTAAAAGATAAAGAAGAGTCGGAGTATTATGAAATTTTGGATAAATGGTATAAATGGTTGAACAATAGAAAGGATAAAGGAGATAAGAAAATTAAAGATAAATGTATATGAATAAAGGTATATAAAGGTATATAGATGTAGATATTTACATGAGATTGGTTTGTATAATAATGATGACACAGAACTGTTAAAATTAAGATGAATATGTGTGAAAGGTGAAAAAGAACAATAAAAATGGTTGCAAAAAAAGAGAGAGAATGTCAACAGGAACAGTTTTTTTTAGCATCATAAATTTTGGGCTCAGTTGTAAGTTGAGGCCTGCCTGTAATCTATCGTTTTGCTCTTTCTCTCCACAGATATTATTTTTCTTCAAGGTACAGAAGTCATATTTAAGGTAGCGCTATGCCTGCTTAGCACCCAGGAGGAGAGCATCATGTCATGTGAGACATTTGAAGGCATTGTGGAGTTTCTTAAGAACACTCTCCCAGACATGACACAGCCCCAGATGGAGAAGATAATGGCCCAGGTAACACAGGTTTTATTCCTGCCCACCTTTCCTTTCTCCTTTCTGAGGAGCAGAAATCCTGTGAAAGCATCACTTGATTGACAGCGCCGAGTCTTGACATATGACAATATGTTAACTCATAAGTGATTTCTCTGGTCTTTTTAGAGTTGCCAACAGAAAGGGAGGAGGGAGCAGTGCAACAGCTTGCAAAACCAAAACTGCATTCCATAAATGTTTTCAAAGATAGTAACTAGGTGACTGAAGTTTCTGCCATGCAATTTCTAACTGGGGAGCATGACGGATGACTCTTAGCTATGGAGGTGTCCCATTGGAGAATATGAATTACAATGCATCCAATGGATGTGGGGGAAACCAGGGTCCAGGGTGACAATGAATGATGTGTCTCAGAGTCAGCTACACCCAGGCAGTGCTGGCATGTTCACTCCCAATAAATCCTTTTTAAGTTTTGGAAGTTTGGCTCGAGACTCATGATTGAAATGGGGGTAACTGCCGGAATCCTGACACAATGTTCCTTTCATTCTTTTTTTAAAAAAATAAGTTTTCAATGAAGGTTTTAACAGATGTAAACTATTCCTTACTTTTATTTTCTCTTTTAGTTTATTGTTTTTACTATGTCTGTTAAAACTGTCCCTGATTAATGGTGATACGAGCTTGGTTCGGAAAAGCGCCCTGTGTTTATAAGTTGCTGCGATAACTTCGTCCACCAGTTTTGGAATTTAAATGTCCCTTTGAGGCGTTTTAGGAATTAAGTAGTTTCTCTTTGAAACACGGAGCTTAAAAAAAAAAAATTGCTAAGCAGAATTTGGCAGAGAGCAAGCAGGCTCCCCTTCTGTCATTTGTCCAGTGAAATCCTTTAGGTGGCATGGCCATCAAAGCAATAATGTCCAAGATTCAATGGTTGCACTTTAAGTTATTCTTTCGGTCTTGAATGAATCTGTGGCTGGTCCATACCGATTGAAAGTTTTGATTTAGTCCTTCCAGAAATGATTGTGAGAGAAGCTTCCACTCTCCCTCTTTCCTTTGGCACATTGGTAGTCCTCTTTCTCACTCTGAGGTGCAAAGATCTCAGTTATTTGTCGTCTTCTCAAGTTTCCAGTGGATTGTAAGCAGGGGTGGGATTCTTTCAGGCAAACCCCTTGTTCCGACGATCAGCCAGCTCCGAACTGCCCGCCCACCCATCCCTTCTCTTTCCTGTCCTCTATTTCCTGTTTTCACAACACAGCTGATTGGCGCGGCAGAGCAGTTTGCCATGCCTCAGCTGTTTGATTCACACTAACTGTCCAGAGTTTTGCAGCGTTAATTCAGCGCTGGAAAAATAAACAGAGATGGCTGATGCTTCATTTAACATCTTTATAAACATAATAAGTCAATTTTACAAACCATTTGTAGATTTCTCCATCATGGAGCAAACTCAGACAGAAACAGGTTGCAAGCAACTTACAGCAGCACAGAAACAGACTTAAGTTTCACTTTAGTTCAGCAAGCAAGCAGAGGAGAGAAGCAGTTTCATTTCAAGAGAGAGACTCAGAGCTCAACATAGCTGCAGAGTTGCAGAGCTTGATATAGAGCTACACCTAGGCTACTTCTAGTTTCGGTTTCCAAAACAGTTCCCCATTGGCTGACTTAGTTACTCGGCCTATTCATTGGCTGACCTTGTTACCAAGCTCTATTCCAGTTCATGAATATACTCTGACAAACTGCATTACAAGGTAGGAATTTGAGCTTTTCTAAATGCACAGCGCACGTGTGCAGTGCATGTTTGGCGCAAACATGCGCAAAGCGAGTGTTCATGCGCAAAGCGAGCAATCACCGAATCCGGTTGTTATACCGGTGGAATCCCACCTCTGATTCTAAGGCAACTTCTCCCCTCCTTTTTTTTCTTTTTTGCTACCCATGGTAGGTATTTGAGATGGACATTTCCAAGCAGCTTCATGCCTACGAGGTGGAGTACCATGTTCTGCAGGACGAATTGCAAGAGAGCCTGAGTCCTTGTGAGGAAGTTGAAGCTTCAGAGAAACTTGAACGGGCCAACAGTCAGCTGAAGAGGCAGAATATGGATCTCTTGGAGAAACTTCAGGTAAAACCCAACAAAGAGCCAGGCTCAATCTGAATTTGGGAGCAGATGACTATTATCAAATTAGGGAAAGGAAATACCCAGTGGCACCTTTCTTCCCCAGAGACACACACCTTTGTCTGTCCTCGACTTATAGCCATTCGTTTCCAACTTCTCTTCTGTTCTCTTCTATGCTATGCCATTTCATTCCACTCCACTCCACTCCATTCCATTCCACTACACTACACTACATACATTCCATTCCATTTCATTCTTTAGATGGATTTTTTAAAAAACGATGGAGATAGGGAATCACTGATGAACAAACATGATCTGGGGCTAGATTGCTGACTTTCTGGGAGTAAGAAAGGGGATAAATAAAATACGATGTATTTCTTTAAAATAAATAAATCTAAAGGACCCCTTTCTGAAATGAAGGGCTGTCCTTCATAACAAAGGATGCCTGGTCACTCTAGGAGTCGCGAGTTTTAGCAGAACTGGAGGACCTCCTCTGACCATCTCTTATTTCCTCTTTCTGCTCCTTGTTAGGTGGCCCATGCTAAGATCCAAGGCGTGGAGTCCAACTTGGAAGAGGCCTTGAAAAGGGAGAGCCAGATGTTGACTTTAATCCGGTCCCTGGAAGAGGAAAAGGCTCTATATCAGAAGGCCCTGGAGAAGATCTGCAGCTACCTGCCCCAAGAAGCCCTGTCTGACTGTGAAGAGCTGCTGAAAGAAGTCAACTGTCCTCCAAACAAATTCTAGAAGAAAGCCATCGACGAGAGAGAGAGAGGAAGCAGTGGGGGAGAAGAGAAAGAGAGAGAGAGAGAACATGTTTTCTTCTCACCGATGGAACGAAAGAAACAAGCCAGGCCGCTGCTTGGAAAGGAGAGCCACCTCATTTCACAGGATCCTGCAAGCAGCCGCCGCCATAGCGAAGGGGCCTTTTTTTCAACCTCAATATGCAAATCCCAGGTTCATGTCTGTCTTTCTTTCTTTCTTTTTTTTGTTTAAATAACGCGTGTACATAATTCGCAGTGCCCAGGACAAAAAATGGGACCCAATGAAGAAGAAGAAGAAGATCAGGTGTATATTTTGGACTGATCTAAACGGGGAAACCAGTGGAATTGGAGACTGCTTGTAACTTAGACGTTGAAGACTCTTCCCTTCCCTCAGTAAAGGAAGGCAACGGGGTCTTTTCTATACGCTGATCAACACTTGAAAAAAAATAAAAATCAAGAATGTATTTCCACCTCCAAAAAGCAGCACAGGTCCCAGCTGAGGGGAGTACCTGGGGTTGGGGGGGGGGGGGTGCGCTGCTGTGCAGGTCTGCTACATGTTGGGGGCCCGTTTCTAAAGTTCCTCAGGGAAGAGCGCTGGTCCTTCCTTTGTGCAGGAACAGTTGTGTTCCTGTAGACACACAACGGACCTTTCCTCCTGTCTCCTTCAGGGAGAGCTCATGATGGCTGATGCTGCCGTGCCTGACTGAAAAGTCACCCATTCCCTATCCAGAAAAGCAAGGAAGGCGTATCAGGGACCTCTTCACTCCTCCTTCCTTGTGAGACAGAGAATGAAAACGAAGGGCGGTTGAGGTCAGGGGTAGGATTCTACTGGTTCAGACCGGTAGATCAGCTGTGAGCAACCTGGTTTGTTCCGACGATCAGCTGTTGGGCCTACCTGCCCCAGCGCTAGCCTGTGCTTTATTTCCGGGTTTTCCAGCTCAGCCGATTTGCGCGGCACGGCGGATTGCCGTGCATTAGCTGTTTTACACACGGGGCTTGCAGCAGAAGGTGAGTTGCAAACGCTGCGCACGCTCACCAAAACGGTCGTTACACCGGTTGAATCCCACCCCTCTTTGAGGTGTGGCCGGGACGGGAGTGTGCCAGAATGCAGGTAGGACTTTCCAAGAAAATTCTTCTCTTGGGGAAAGTCAGCTGAAACTCTTGGGATCGACTCCTTTCCTCCGACCTACAGGAATCCGTTTCGGTTGAAGGGGCCCTCACCATTGAGCGCTGCCCTTAGCTTAGCACCTTGTAGCTTCTCCATGGCTCTTGAGATCCAGCTGTGCCGAGATCACCGTTAGGAAGACAGCCCATATGTCACTTCAGCAATGGCTCAGAGATGCTGTGAAGCACTACTAAGGCCTGAGAGGGAGAATGGCCATCATTTAAACAGGATAGATGGAACGGCCTTCAGCCGGAGGTCGAATCCTGACACCTGTTTCCACCTGGCCAAGGAAACCCTGTAAGATCTTCCTGCTTCCAGAGTCGTCCAGCATTTTTTCTCCAAAATGTGAGTTATTTCTTCCACAGGGAAGATCCCATAAACCTTCAACGTTGCACCTGCAATGGGAAAACAAATAGTTGGCCACAGAATTAACGCTAAGGGGGGCGGTTATCCGGGGGTGGGCTTCAAAAATTTTACCAAAGGGTTCTCTGCCCAGTTGCTGGGTGGGCGTGGCCCAGTCGTCTTCCTGCACCATGGCCGGGGGGGTGGGGGGCATTTTTGGCCCCTCCGGGCTCTGGAGGCTTTCTTCGAGCCTCCGGGATGTCGAAAACTGCCTGCCCAGGCTTCTGGATCCAGAAACAGGCCCATTTCCGGCCTTCCTGAACTTTAGGAAGGCCCGTTTTTCACCCTCCCTGAGCCTCTGCGCACGCCCATGCATCCAAAATAGGCTGTGTGGGGACTCCGGGGAGGGGAGGGGCCAGTGAGTAGTAGGATATGCGGGATTCTCCGAACTGCACAGAATCTTAGCTAGGGGCTCCCCCGAACCCTTGCGAACCCCCCAGCAGCCCCGCCCCTCTGGTTATCCCTGTGTGCTAGTTGATACATTTCAGCATGACACGTCTGCTCCCTCCTCTTCTTTTTAAAGAAGCATTAAGAAGCAGAGATTCAGCTTCTTAAAATTCTAGCAATTTCTGGATGGTGTTGACTGGTTTTATTATTATTATCATCATCATCATCAACAACATCATCCTAATCATTTGCTGCTCTGCCTATTTCTTAAGTACCTTCTCTGTTTTTGGAAGCTATTTCTGCCGTGCAGACCAGACACCGAAGTCAACACTTGATCTATCAAAATGATGAAAATAGCAATCAGCCAACACAAGAAATACGTTTGGGAACATGTTGTTGCATTTCTCCAGCCGCTTTCTTTGAAATTGTGCCAAATTCAGCCAAGTGTCTTCCTCGTCGAAGACACAGGTATGGGTGAAAGTGCTTCCACTGCAACATGAATTGTGTTATGCAAACAACAAGCAAAACCGAGAAGGACACAGTTGCCATCCTCCTCCGCCCGCTGCTGCATCAATCCAACCCCGCCTCCCCCCTTTTTTTTTGATTTCTTGATCATATAATTTCTCAGTTTTCCTGGGCACTGTCCCAAAGGAAAAGCCAAATGCATGACAAAACACTGCCCTAATTTTAGCTTTTTGCATGGGAGATTTCCCAAAGATTGCGTGCCTGGTGTTATTTTCTTGCCGCTTCTTATCCAATCAACAGAATCACACCAAACCTGGCGGAGTTGCAGAAACATCACATTTCCAGAAGGAAGGAAAATGTGCTCTGTTTCTTTGCAGTTTCATTTGAGGCCACCTTGTGTACGGAGAAGCAGCCCCAGAGGACTGGGCGCTGGTGGTCTTGAGTTATTAAGGCACGCGAGAGTTTTATTTTTATTTTTTAAGAAAATCACAACGTTTCATGCCATGTTGGTTTCACTGACTTGTTCATGTTGTCACGTGGAAAATTTCCAATAAATGCCATTGCTGCATTACCTCGTATTGTTTTCATTTGCAGCCGGAGTATTTCTATGGGTGGTTGCCCAGGGAGTTCTTTTGGAGTTGTTCTCTTGTAACGTGAGAACTCAGGGTTACCCAGTTGAACAGACGAGCCACCAGGCCTTTTTGAGTGGCTGATTGATGGGTGTTGGGGTTTGGAATTAGTGCTTGACACACAGATAACAAGCCTTGACTGGCTGTGTGGAAGAGAAGGAGTTGGAGGGATGTTCTAACCCAGGGGTGTCAAACTGGAGGCCTGCAAGCCAGATGCATCACACTCTGTAAATTGGAAAAATGTCACGTGACTGCAATGTGACATGGCGAGTTGACATTCGTGTTCTGAGAGATGTACCTGGGTGCTAGTGCAGGCAATCCTGAACTTACAACCATTCATGTAATGACTGTTCAAAGTTACAACAGACTGGGAAAAAAGGAGTTACTGCAGGGGTCGGCAACCTTAAATACTCAAAGAACTACAAGGGTCCTAACTGGAAGCCCCCCCCACATTCAATTCTGGATCCCACTGGAAGTCTGGTTTCCCCACCATAGAGTCTCCTCCTAGTGCAGCATCCTTTTCGCAACGATTCTAGTGATCCGGTAGTGCCAGTCAGCAGTTGGCCCCACCTACCACCCCCATCCTTTTCCTGTGCTATATTTCCTTGTTTGTAGCTCAGCTGATAAGGCGTGGCAGGGCGGATTGCCAGGCCTCAGCTGTTACTCACCAGCGCTGACAATAAGGTAAATTTTCATGCTTAAAATTGCCTGTTTTAGAAAGCTCCATGCACGCACAAAGCATGCGCTTACAGAATGGGGAGTAAAATATTTTGAATTTCACCACTGCTTGAAGTCATTACAATTGGGCTCTGCGGGACATGCTGGTTTTTTTTTTATTATTTTTATTATGGGAAGAAATCCTGATCAAGCAGAACTCTGTTGCTTTTATAGACAGTTCTGATTCAGCAAATTTGGAGGATTGTTTGATCCCATGTTTTATGAGGAAAGGAAAGTTCATTCCCAGATCCTGAAAAACCTTACTTGGCTGTTTTCTGTTAGGGGAAAAAAAAAATCAGGCAGATCTAGGCTAGGTTTTGGGTGCTCTATTTGGGTTTAATGGCACGGAACTTGAACAGATTGCAGTAACTACCAATCCAGGTTTCTGAAACTACATAACGGATGCAAAAAAAGTGTTGACCTAATAATAAGTTTGTCTGTTTAGGCAAAGCTTGACAGCGAAGGAGACCGGCCTGCTTCTCTCTGTTTGCCACAATTTGACCACCAAATTCTACTTCCATGGGCCATTGAGGTCACCTGGAGATAAGCATAGCACCATTTTGCTTTTTAGAGGAAATTCATCTGGAATATCTCAGGGTTGAACAACATTGGAGCAAAGGAAGTAGATGCACACATTTTTTTTTTGTAAACATGTTGTGCATTGACGATAAACATTTGATTTGATTTGATATTGGTTAGTTAATTGGTTGGTTCTTTCCTTGAGGTGGTTCCATGGCATTGAACATCCACTGGCATCTTTGTCCCCCATTTGTACGGCTGATCTGCCTGGATGCTCTTAGAGAGCAGAACTTCTCTGGGGTAATTTTTTAATTTGCTGATTGCAACAACTTCGTCAGGAGGAAAAACTCTTTGGCAGACCCTCCTCTTGGTGAAACAAGAATGGCCATTAAGACTTGACTTACCTTTCTTGTCTCAGACCTGGCTGGATCTAGGTGGGTGATGGATGCAAAATCCCATCCATATAGGACAGTGGATGGTCTCCTGCCTCTCTTCATTATTGTAGGTTGGCCACTAGAGGGCGCTGCTTCTTGGGCAAGTCCCAGAGAAATTGCTTCAGTCCATTAGCTGGACTTCCTGAGCGGATAGTACTGGTCTCTAGATTCACATCTCTCACTCCCTCTCTTTCTCTTTCTCGTTCTCTTTCTCTCCCTCTCCCTCCCTCCCCCTGCTTTCTCTCTTCCTCTCCTTTCATGTCCTTTTTTCCATCCTTGTTATTTTATTCCTCTTCTTCTAGTCCAGGAATCTTATAAAATGGGATGGGGTAGGCTTGGGATGGGAAAAGAGAAGGGGAGGGGAGGAGAGAGAAGAGGAGAGGAGAAGGGAGAAGAAGAGGAGAAGAGAAGAGAAGGGAAGGGAAGGGAAGGGAAGAGAAGAGAAGAGAAGAGAAGAGAAGAGAAGAGAAGAGAAGAGA